AGGAATCGGGAGCCTGGCAGGAGCCCCAGCACATCTGCTCGGCACCGTGAAATGCCCCCTGGTAGCACCACACACATGTTCCTAAGAGCAAAAATTAGCGTCTCATTTCCGAGGGGTTTTGTTCTGTCCTCTTGTTGCTGCCACTGTGTTAAGCTGTGAAGAAACTGCTCGAAGTGCTGTGTTTGGGGTGTCAGCCCCTGCTGCCCTGAGGGGACCCTGCCTGCTGGGGATGGGCCCGGAGCTCCCTCTGCGGCTGCACCGAGCCCGATCTGGGGGACTGCGTGCACGTCTCACGGAAAGCTCCCACCAGGAGAAGGGCCCTTCAGGAGGTGCTTCACATCGTTGTTGCAGTCAGGCTCGTTCCCCGTTCTGCGGGATTGCTCGGTCCTTCTCCCTGGGGCGCTCCCACGGCTCTGCCGCCCCTGCTCTGGTTTCTCTTGGTAGTGGGATTTCTGTCCCCTTGGCCTCACGCAGGGATAACCAGCCTTATTCCAAGCAGGACCTAGGAGAGGCACTGGGCAAAGCAGCCACCCAGAACTCCGTAGCCAGTATCTAGTTGTCTGCTCCGTGCAAAGGCCTTAGCTCCATCTCGGGCAGCGCGGTGCCTGGCTGCGGTGCAAGGGGTGCGTGTTTGGCCCCTCGATTTGGCCCCTCGGCTAAACCACGGCAGCGCCTCGGGGCAGGCAGGACCCTGCCCATCGTCCCTGTCGGTTTGCCCCCAGGTGTTCTTCCTGAGCAGCAGAGTCCACCCAGGAGAAACACCCTCCAGCTTTGTCTTCAACGGCTTCCTGGACTTCATCCTGCGGGAGGAGGACCCTCGCGCCCAGATGCTGCGGCGGATGTTCGTCTTTAAGCTCATTCCCATGCTGAACCCCGATGGGGTGGTGCGAGGCCACTATCGGTGAGCGAGCACAGGCCGCAGCTGCGGCTTCATCGGGGTCCAAGTGGGGCCGTTCTTTCCTGGTTTGGAGCCTGCTGTGCATTTCATGGTGCCTGGGAAGAATGATCCCAAGGTCCTGCACCGGTAGCAGAGGGAGCCGAGGCCCGCGGGCCCCCCTGCCACCCGCTTGGATCCACAGCGAGGGCTCGGGGCTGCAGGTGTAGGTTGTCTCCCGGATCAGGGCTTTCTAGCTTGGGCAAGAAGCGCTGCCCTGTGCCATTGAGGCACTCGGACACTGTCCTGTCCTGTCCTCACTCTCCCTGGGTGTCAGAGCTGGGCTAGCTTCAGGGAGGAGAGAGGGAGATCGCTCGGAGCTCTGTCTCACTGAGGCGAGTGCCGCACAGGAGAGAGGTTCTGTGCTGCGCCGGGGCAGCGGCTATGCTCGCGAGGGGATGATTTGACCAGCTGCCCTCCGGGATGGAGCCCAACACCTCGACCGTTACGAGGGGAGGTTGGGTCCGCCTTTGCGGAACGGACGGTGGTGCTGTGCGAAGGACCTCACGTCTCCTCTGCTGTCTCTGCAGAACTGACTCCCGTGGGGTAAACCTGAACCGCCAGTATCTTAACCCTGACGCCGAGCTGCACCCTGCGGTGTATGGCGCCAAAGCTGTCCTCCTCTACCACCACGTTCACAGCCGCGTCCTGCCGGGCTCTCCCGACTGGAGGACATACGTCTCCCCGCTCAGCACCAGCTCACTAAGCACAAAATCTTCCAATCATTCCGTCTGCAGCAGCGCCCCGTCCCCGGAGTCGACTCTGTCAGAGCTGGAGAAAACCAATAACCTCCGCAACTTGCCCAGCACCTGGCGTGCCAGCACGTACCTCAGCCCTTCTCAGGAATCTCGCCTCTCGGGAGCGCCCGCCACTGATCTGGGCAGCAAGGACCGGGCTGTCTGGATCCTCCCTTCCAGCCGCCCTGCAGAGTGCAGTGAGGAGGAAGGCAGGAGGCCTCTGCCAGCACCTCTCCCTGAAACCATCCTGCCCCAGGACAGCGGGCTGGCCTACTACGTCGATCTGCACGGGCACGCCTCCAAGCGCGGCTGCTTCATGTACGGCAACAGTCTCAGTGACGAGAACGATCAGGTGAGGGCACGGGGTAGGAGTGCGGAGGGGCTGGAGGCGGCTGGGACCCTCTCACTGCTCTGCCCCCTCCCCAGCATCCCGAATGCTCCCTCCCACTGCTAGGAGAGGGGGTGGGAGCTCCCTGTCGGACGGGGCTGGTGCCCGCGGAGGGGGCGCGGGGCTGGCTGCCTTCCCCACTTTCTGCGCTTGGTGGGGTTTGCTCTCCTCCCCCTCTCCCTCTCCTCTCCCAGGCCTGTGTCCAGGACAGCAGCAGCAGGTCTCAGCGTTCCCCTGGGAGCTGCCATGGGGCGGACAGCAGAGGTGCCCCTCCTCCTAAGGGACAAGAGGGTCGGGGAGAGCTGTGCAGCTGGGATCCTTCCTCCACCTTGAGCAGGCTGTCGGGAGAGTCCAGCTGCTGCCTCTCCACTGGCAATGGGCAGGGATGGGCAGTGTCCCCTGGGCAGAGGGGACATGTGAGACGCTGGAACGGGGCTGAGCGGGCCTAGCCTCAGTGCACCCAGAGCTTGGTGCTGGTGGTGCTGGAGCGGGACAAGCAGCCAAAGGGTCCCCCAAAGTCACCCACATCCCTCCCCGTGTGTTGCAGGTGGAGAACATGCTCTTCCCAAAACTCATCTCCTTGAACTCGCCTCACTTTGACTTCACGGGCTGTAACTTCTCGGAGAAGAACATGTACGCCAGGGACAAGCGGGATGGGCAGTCGAAGGAGGGCAGTGGGCGCGTAGCCATCTACAAAGCCTTGGGGATCATCCACAGGTAGGCTAACCTCCGGCCCTGCTCTCCTCCGGCCCGCGAAGGGGTGGTCCTGCCAGACGCAGGATGTTAAGGAGAGTTGAAACCACTTCTGTGGGGGCAGCTGTGTCTCGCGGGGCTCTCCAGTGGGGTTGGAACTGGCCAAGAAGAGCATCAAGCACTCAGTGCCGGCAGAGGCCGGGACGTGGCCATGCTGGGTGCTGCTGCATTCCTGAGCTGCAAGCGTTGTTCTGCACCACAGCCCGGCTCCTTTTTACTCTTGTACCTCCTGCCCCTTCACGTCTCTCCCGCAGCTGCTCTGGCTGCTTGTGCACAG